ACAATTTTCATAAAAATCGGAATTTTGCACATTTTGTCAAATTTCTCGAATACGGACCATTTCAGGAAAATTTGACATAAAGCAAAAATTATAGATAATAATATTAGAAGTAAATTTTATTTGAACAATGTTCTTCTCCAAACATAAATAACAGATATAATCCATAAAATATAAAAACGCCACCCCATAAAGTACCCCCCCCCCCCCCAGATGTTCCGACTTTGTCCAAAATCTAATCATTTCACGTCAGGCCCAAATAAAACTTAAGTTTAAAAATAAATGTTTTTTTCTTTATCAGTTTTTGAGTTTTCTTCAAATTTCGAAATTTACACATTTTCTCAAATATCTCGAATACGGTCCATTTTAGAGAAATTATGTATGGGATAAAAATTATAGAGAATTATATTACAAACAACTTTTATTTGAATAATTTTTATAAAAAAATATTTTTTTACATTTTGTCAAATTTCTCGAATACAGACCATTTTAGGAAAATTTTTTATAAAACAAAAATTATAGATAATAATATAAGAAGTAACTTTTATTTGAAGAATTTTCTTCCCCAAACGTAAATAACAGATATATTCCATAAAATATAAAAATGACCACCTATAAAGTACTCCCCAGATGTTGCGACACTGCCCAAAATCTAATCAGCACATTGGACGCTGGAACAAAGCTTAAGTTTGAAATTTTGTGTTTTTCTGTGTATCGGTTCATGAGTTATGCGACACACAGACACACACAGACACACACACAGACATCATCGCGAAAATAGTCAAAACGGATTCAGGGGACCTCAAAACGTAAAAATCCGTCGAAAACTCGAGGTCGAAAAAATCATGATTCCTATACTTTCCTTATATCTGTATACAGATAGGAAAGTAAAAATTAACATGGGTGGAGGCTCAATAATACTTTGTATATATGTAATACAAAATTAAAAACAAACTCCTTACATGCAAAAAAATTGTTATTTCAATTTTGAGCAAATTAGCACTTTTAGATCGTTTGAAATTTCCACTCTTCAATTATTCTTAAATATACAGACAGGGCCAACTAGGGGGAGGGGGGCAACCGGGACTAATTCCCGGGGCCTGGACTCAAATGGAAGTCCAACAAAGGTATAAGGGGGGCCCGGCAGCGGTGGTGGGAATTTTTTTGTTACTTCAAAATTTCGACTCACAAGGGTGGAATTTGTTAGTTGAAGATATATTTTTTTTAGAGAAATTCAAGTAGAAAGAAAATAGCAGAGATAAAAAATATTTTCAACACTCAAAATATTTTCAACACTCAAAATATTTTCAACACTCTGCCTATGATTTTGCCCATTAAGGAGAAAGTCATCCTTATTAGGACTCTTCAGCAATAAATGGAAATTCTCGACTCCAGTCTCTAATGCAGTCTGATTAGAACACAAATTTCGATCGAACTCAGTTACGGCGGGTTGAGCATGAGTAGATGCGAAAGTGGTATCGCCATCTATACTTAGTAAGCAAAATCAAATAACATCTAGTGGATATCCACCATGGTTTGCGTTCGCGCCTAGACTTTGATATATTTAGTGGATGTCCATGGGATATTGAATACACCTTAAAAAAATAATTTTAAATATCTGAACGGTACTATTAGCCACAATGGCGTAATTTTTTAATAATTTGCTATATAATTACTATTATTTATGGACATTTGCATGTCTATAAATTACAGCTCATGGATATAAAATAGATATCCACCATGGACTGGACATTCAGTGGATATTGGAATATCCAATAGATATCCAAAGGATTTGGTGTGCTGTCTGGGTATTCCATTTAAAAAAAATTGAGAAAATTGTAATCTTGCATTTGGACACACCCTATATATAACAAACCAAATTGGAGTCAATTAAAATTGTTTGGCGATGTCAAAACAATCAAATATGTATAACTACATGATAACTACCTACAGCGTATTTTGCCTTATAAAAGTATAGGTTTGGTTAACACCTAGTTTATGAAACACCCTGTATATTTAAGAATAATTATTAAATATGGCTATACAACTTTTATATTAAAAATGTCTTCGTATTTACAATAATAAAACAACTATCCATCAATTACTCACTGTTGGGACACCCTGTATTTGTGTTATTGGCTAACATGTTCGTATTATTGAATAGGCAAATTTATAAAGAATTTTATGCTAAAATAATATATAGGATGTTGTATTTAAAAAAAATTGAGTAAATTGAATTTAAAATTAGCCATACTTAAAACATGTTTCAAAACACTCTGTATAAAATATTCCAGTTCTATCACCACTGTTCGTTAGCTTACCATCTTATAAATTATGATAATTTAATTAGGGATCTGCATTATTACCTAATTTCAAAAAAAAAATAATTACTTTGCAACTCTATAACATTTAAAAAATGCTAGTGTTGAACATAGCATTACCAAATCATTCTAAAACTGAAATAAAATACAGGAGTTTCAATTTAAAAAAAAAATATATTTTTATTTACCAGGCAAAAACGTAACACCCTGTATATTCGAAAATAGTTTTAAAATACGTATTTTTAATTCCTTATAACTTTTATTTGAAACTGCATAACTATGACATAAATATAAATGTGGAAAAATCACGCACTAACGGGACTCCCTATATTATTAAGAGACCGTGTATAACATTAGTCAGTAGGTATAAACTGGCACCGCTGATATTATTCTGTTCCTGCTCACGCTAATACTAATTTTCTATAGTTTTCAGTGCACTCGTGCTAAACGTATTAGAAAACGTTCGATAACCAATACTGTATATGGCCCCTCCCTTCATAATGGGCTATAACACCACTGCTTGCATGTAACAAAAAAAATCAAGAATCAACTGTAAATGAGATAATATAGAAAAATCATTATTTTTCAAATTTAGATGTTTTTTTTGTTTATAATTTTTACGAATGTACTGTTAAGTTAAATTACATAATATGACAAAATAATGAATGTGTTTAAATTTTTTTTTCTAAATTAAAATTGAACGCAAGTTTTTCATCCACATTCTAAATTATACTTCACAAGCAATAACTCAAAAGTTACTCAGCGTATTTACTTAACGACATCTACTTTTTTTCACTCTTTTGACACTTTCAGACATATTCTTCCCCTTTGCTCCCTCTGAGGAGTTGCAGCAAGTTCAGCCACTGCCTCGTCATAATCAGGTTCCAGTATCAACTTGCCTTTACCACAGAATATTCACATGACAACACTTCAGTCCCAATAGCTTAATACCATTTGAATATCCTACTCCTTCCCATTCATTCATCTCATATTGACGGCTTACAAGCAAAACACAGTCAGATTTGATGAAAAATCCATTAAGTCACTTAATGTATTTTTTTGAACAAAATAATGCTATTATAAACTTAACAAATAAGAAAATATATTAAAAAAAAAGATTCTTAGAAGGTATAGAGGATTATACCAGTATATAGAGCGGAAGAAATCCACTTAAATGATATAAATAAGTAAAAAATAAATAAAATCTGATTTGTTTTTAAACCAATGATATATTCTACCCATTCTACTATCTAAATTAGCCCAGGGGTAGTATTCTCGAATCACGAATACCGACATTCGCATACGTGTTTTACAATGTGTCTCACTTTGTTGAACGAAAACCAAGTGAGACAAATCATAAATCTCGCATGCGAATCTATATTCGTGACTCGAGAATACTACCCCAGAGCTGTATAAGTTCGGTCACTCATTTAGACAGTCACCGGACCAACTACTTCTACAATCGATATATAAATATTTTTAGTATCAACCAACGACCCGGCCAAGGCATCTAGTTTGCTATAAATTTTAATACAATGAGCGGTATTAAAACTATTAAGAATCGCATGAACTAAATGCACGAAACATGATATCAACAATTAATTTCACGACACGTAGAATGCATTAATTTATATGATTATCCATTGCCCCGATATCAAAAGTTGTATTCAATAGATTATATCGCGAGTTAATAACTTATATACTTAACAAGAGCAATGACATGACAAGCTTTTATCTACTAGAACTTTATAACCTTAAAATAGCAAATATGATTATCATCTATTAATAAAGTACAATAATAATCGATTATTAATCTAAAAGTATAGAAAATTATTATATTATGAGTGATATATTCAAAATGATATTTCCTCTTTGTTATAAAAATATAAAGTAAAACATCATACTCACTTTTGAATAACCTCTTCATTTTTCTGACATCGTTTTTCATGACTTATTAAGAATTTTTCAGAAGTAATCCCTGCTTTACAATGTTTGCATACAAATATATTTGTAACGTCAATTTTCATTCTACTAGGTTGAAATTTACAATAATTTTCATGAGTGCTTCTGTACTCTTTTGTACTTAAACCAATCTTGCAATATTTACAAGAAAAATATTCTTGTTGACGTTCTTCCTCTATAGGTTCAAAATACTTTTTTGTATCGATACCTTCAAAACACAAAAACTCGCATTAAATAACATTCAAATTAATACGAAAATGATTACGTTATGTTCCTAAAATTCAAACTTAAATAAACAATAATAATAATAATAATAATAATAATAATAATAATAATAATAATAATAATAATAACAGTTTTTAAAGTTTTTAGAAAGTATAAGAGGAACTTTTTCAAGTTATATGGCGCAGTCGATAGGATTCACTCTCGCTTGTTTGCCAAATCTAAATCATTATATTTCACTGCAAACTTAAGAATATCGCAGGGAAAACATGAATACAATTTCAGAAACGAAATAATCAAAGATGGCATCAATCAAAAGTTAATTAGTCAAATAATAGAACCGTTAAAAATTAAATGATTTGGTCACGTACAAAGAAGGGATAACTAGGCAGGAATAGAAAAAGGAAAGAGTGAGGAGGCCAGGAAAAATATAAAATAAACGAAATAACACAAAAAAGGGGAAACAGTATAAGATCTAAAATAACAAAAACATGATGAGTAGATTTCATACCCGCCAGCGCCGCAATAATGCCTATAAGAAAAAAGATAATTAATAATATTTCTCGGAATAAAAATAATTACATACCTAAGTTTTTAGCAAAACTAGTACCATAGTACACTAATAATTCTTCTCCCTCCAAAATATCCCTACATGTTCTATAATACAATTGGCCTCTATATTGGAAAGCAATAACATTTTGTTGTGCAATATTCTTTGCGCAATTTACGTATCTTAAATAATTGGAATTGCTTTCATCACTAGCATCAATCTAAATAAAAAAAAAAACTTATTTTAAGTGTGTTTCAGATGAAATAAAAAACATGAGAAAAAGTTTTCCTTAAAAAGCGCAACAAAAATTTTTAAATTTCTATGGTGTAAAAATATTATTTTAAAAATTAAAATAATGGATATTAAAAATTTATGTTAAATTGGACGTACGCTAATGAAGTTGACATAGGTAATTTACAAAATTTAGATTATCTAAGGTCATCAACTTCAAATATCCAAATCAGAGTCTGTTGGTACAATTCGTTTTTGAAAATCATGCACTCTTGTTATTGTCTTAACATTCTGAATTACAATTTGATTCATGAAAACGATTTAATTCCTTACCAGCTGACTGTATTTCAATTTCCACGCATATCCCTGAGTAGTTTCAACTTTGGTGACATTTCCTTCATAAGGACCCATACGTACGCCTTTTTGAATTTTTTTTAAAGCAAAAACTCCAAAACCATGAATGCTTGAAAGTTTTATTTCAAGTATACCTGTTGGTACAGTTTTTTTAGCCCGATTTGGGGTTCCCATTGGGACATTATTATTTTCCAAACAAATCAACATCCCACATTTCGAACAGTAATCCACGTATTCTTTTTGACAATTGTCGCAAACTTAAAATAATTTCAAATTATCACTTAAAACAATAGTTTTGGTAAACTTATACATATATATATATATATATATATATATATATATATATATATATATATATATATATATATATATATATATATATATATATATATAAAGATAGCCTATAGGCTATACAGGGTGTTTCCGAACTTTGCGTCCAAAGTAGGGGTGGTAGTTCGCATAATTTGAGACCGATTCGCAGATTTCAATTTTCTAAAATATTTATATAAAAATAATTAAAAATTATAAACAGGTACGGTTCTGCACATCGATGGGAACGACTCGATTCGCGCGCGCTACGCTTAGAATCGACAAAATTGCAAATCGCATCTGTTTTTGAGGAATATTGCGCTACGCGCTCAGGGTAGGACCTACTCTTTGATTTTTTTATAATGGCTCTATTTTGTTTATTATAATTTTTTTAGAAAAATGAAATCTGTCAATCGCTCTAAAATAATGGAACTATCACCCCTACAAATTTGGAAGCCAAGTTCGGAAACACCCTGTGTAGATTGTTCTTTTATGATATGCGAATATTTAAAGGTGTAAATCTATATGAAAAATTAGTGATAATTTGCTTTATAAATTGTGGTTTAAATGTCAAATTGTTTCTTTTCTTTTTTTCAAAATTTTAGAACCCTGTATTTTCGCAACAAAACTTTTTTTTAATATAGTTTTATAACAGAAACTATCATTAGTTTTTTATGTAGATTCATACCCTGTACGTTTTAATATTTATATGTATAATGTGTTCCATAAAGTTGGATTATTATATGAATTTTTTTTAATAATACAATTGGAAAAATGTAGTTTACTTTTTTAGTGAACTTAAAATATAGTCCAGGGCATTGAGATCAAAATTTCCCGAATAGTGGAACTTTGCTCATACACCAGATATCGAGATGCGGTTTTCTGCATTGTGATCAGGAAGGTCCAGGGAAAAAAGTTTACAAGGTCTCGTTTGGCGCGTTTTTGGAAAAATGCCTTCTGTGCCGGAAAATGCATTTTCCAATTGCATCATAACTTGCACCATTATAGGAACGACTGGAAACTCGAAAAAATCGCTCGGAAATCATTATTCGGGGGGTTTTCGGGGCTGCCAATCTCGTTTCTATCATTAGAATTACTCAGGGGTGGCTCTGTGGGGGTGAATTGGGGGAGAAATGGCAGCGTGCATGAAAGTCGCTCCAAACTCGTTACTCGGGGTTTTCGGGGATGCCTAATTCAATTCCGGCATTGGAATTACCCGGGGGTGTTCGAGGTGGCTCTACCGGGATGTCCGGGGGCTGATTCGAGGTCGAAATTGCAGAGTCCATGGAAATGGCTCGAAAATCCTTAGTCGGGGGTTTTCGGGGATCCCAAATTCATTTCCAACATAAGATTTCCCCGGGGGCGCTCGGGAGCACCTTTGTGTATTTGACTGGGGGTCATTTGGGGGGGGGGGGGGGGAATTGCCTCGTCCATGAAAATCGCTCCAGACTCGTTTTCGGGGAGGCCAAATTCATTTATAGCCTTAGATTTCCTCGAGGATGCTCGGGGGTCCCCATGGGGGGTTGTCTTGAGGGGGGGTAGCAACGTCCATGAAAATCGCTCCAAAATCGTTACTCGGTGGTTTTCGGGGATGCCGAATTCATTTCCAGCATTAGATTTCCCCGGGGGCGCTAGGGGGTCCCGCTGTGGGAAATGGTAAAGGGGAAAGTAAAAAAACACAAATTATGAAAATAACAGTTTATTCAAATAACAAATAGGAGTTTTTATTAATGTTGAATTATTCATTATAAACTTCAATTTTTAACTTAAATACTAAACATCTTGTTCAAACTCTTCTTCCCCTTCTTTATCTTCTCCCCCTTCCTCATCTTCTTCCTCGTCAGTATCCTCGGCCCCGTTGGATGTGCCTTTTTATTTTTAGCAATAGCATGCAAGTGAGCACTCCAACCCCTTTCGGCAGCACCCGCACCTCGTACCACAGTCGGTTTGACAAGAACAAGAAATTTTGCTCAAAATTTCCTCGGGATCGACTTCCTGGGTCATGGTGACAGGACTGATCTCTCCATCCACCAATTCCCACCCCCATTCCAACGGATCTAAGGTCATCTCCACAGAGCCACCCCCGGGTAATTCCAGAATTGAATTAGGCATCCCCGAAAACTCTCGAGTAACGAGTTTGGAACGACTTTCATGCACGCTGCCATTTCTCCCCAACGCACCCCCCACAGAGCCACCCCCGTGTAATTCTAATGCCAGAATCGAGTTCGGCAGCCCCGAAAACACCCGAATAATGATTTCCGAGCGATTTTTCCGAGTTTCCAGTTGTTCTTATAATGGTGCAAGTTATGATGCAATTAGAAAATGCATTTTCCGGCCCAGAAGGCATTTTTCCAAAAACGCGCCAAACCAGATCATGTAAACTTTTTCCCTGGACCTTCCTCAACACAATGCAGAAAACCGCATCTCGATATCTGGTGTATGAGCAAAGTTCCGCTATTTTTCCCTGGACTAATAGTTTATATTAAAGTTGACTAGCACTTTATTAGTTTTTTTATGAGAAATTCGGTATTTTTTTTTAATGCAAGTTTGATGGTAAACTATTTTTACTAATCAACTTTTATGTGGGTTATTTTAAGTTCATAAATAAGCAAAGGTTTTTGTTTGATAGAAATGTTTATATTTTTTTATATAGATTCAACTTTATGTCATACACTTTATAAAAAATCGGACGAATTCCAATAAAATATTAATCATCAAAATGTCACTTACAAACATATCGATCATTTTCCGGCTCTTGTTCTTCAAAATAATTTTTTAGAGGTACGTTACGTTTAGGATTTCGTTTTCCTAAAAAGAATGCGAATATTGTTTAAGACACTGAAATTTTACTGTTAATGAATTAATTTTACCAACTGCCGTAGATGTGCTGGGTTGGGGTGAAGGTATGGATTCGGGTGCGGGTCTTTTTGTTGGTAATTTAATTTCAGCAGATTTTGGTCGTTTAAATAACTTTGAAACTGTTTTCTTTTCCTTTCCTTTTATGAAATCTGGTGTTGGCGTAGGATTTACTATAATATATTTATAAAAAAAAAATAAAGTAATTTTATTTTACATGTTGTGTCTAATTAGGGTTGCCACCTGTCTTTTTTGAAAAGGGCAATTCTTTTTTGAAGCAAAATGTCTTTGTGACTTTTTAAAGTTTAAAATGTTATTTGTTATGGCAAATATCTCTTTTTACGGCAAATGTCTCTTTGTACAGCACATATCTTTGGAAGGGACATGGTTTGTACAAGAATGTATGAACTGAGGACCTTTTTTTTAGAAATTCTGTAGAAGGATGAGGACTTTTTGTATACTGGAGCCTCTGTTAACGTCGTAGTCCTTTATTCACTTTTCAAAAAGAAGGCAATCCTATTTCCAACACACGACTTTCATGTCTAGTTTATTACTGGTTTTTTCCGGTTATTTTGTACAATCTATTGTATTACCCCTTTAAATGTCTAGAGAATTAACTTACCAACTATCGAGGATGTGCTGGGTTCGGGAGCAGGTATGGATTCAGGTGCGGGTCTTTTTGTTGGTAATTTAAATTCAGGAGATTTTTGTCGTTTAAATAATTCTGAATTTGTTTTCTTTTTCTTTCCTTTTATGAAATCTGATGTTGGCGTAGGATTTACTATAATATATTAAAAAAAAAAGTAATTTTATTTTACATGTTAGCGAAATAAAGTAATGTGTCCAGCACATATGACTTTCCTGTCTAGTTGTTACAATTTTTTTTCGGTTATTTTGTATAAGTTATTGTATAACCCTTGTAAGTGTGTAGAGAATGAACTTTTTTCACATACATTTTTTTATATATCATTGCCAATGAAAATACTGAAAAATTAAAATTTTACTCTCTTAAATTTTTTCATTATGGTTTATTTTAGAGAAATCGAATATTATCCTGTACTTAAGTTAAAAAACAGTCTTGTGCTGAACCTCGCCTTTTCATCATTTTCCTTCTTTTTTTTGTTATTGTAAATGTGTAACTATGATAAATAAAGACCATTTATTATTATTATTACTTATATTTCAAAATCTTATGGTTTACATGCATATAATGGCTCACCCTGTATAAAAAGTACAAATAGCGAAATCTTTTTACTTCAAAATTGTTAACGGGTAGAGATTAAGATAATTAAATAATTTATCTGTGGCGCAATTGTAGAATTATTGTGTTTGCAAAAGTATATTGTGATACGTTCGTGAATCACCCTGTAGCAGTAAATATTTTAAAAGTTCCTTTTTTATGAACATCTGACCAAAAATTAACTTTTATACACATTAAGTTAATCTATCTTTTCAGTTTAAAGAAAAAATAACTAAAAATCAACAATTCTCCACTTTAACGCCCTGTATTTCGAAAACTAGTCATAGTATCGGATTTAAAATTCATACTTCCTAAAACGATATTAAAATTATTATATACTAAGAAAATGGTTACATTTGACGGGGGGTAAATTTTATAATACAGGGTGTTCGTGGTTTTTGTACTTTTCTTAATATATAATACCTTTCAACAAATAAATCACCTTGTATATTTTGAAGCTTAAATGTAGATATATTTTAGTGATATTACCTTTGCCAAAATTCAACTCATAAGTACAGGGTTTTAAATTAATCGTTAAAAAAAATAATTTTATGTTGTTGTTCTCTCTATAAAACACCCTGTATAAGAAATGTGTACTGTGCAATATTTTGTCGTCAAAATACCATATTGGGTAGTACTTTTTGAAAATATACTTCTCTAATCGCATAGTAAAATTAGTGTGGTCATATATTTGTGAATCACCCTCTAATTATACATATTTTTAATTGTATGTGTGTACTAATATTTTACTAAAACTCATAGGAAACGTGTGTATGCTTCAGAAATTCAATCTAGCTCGTAAGTTTGCAAATAAAATTTCCCAAAAATTGGGCAATTTTCAACTTTAACACCCCGTATATCGAAAACTAGTCATTGGATTGAATTGGGCCCATTGACACTTTTGGTTACTAGGTTGACTACAACATACCAGAGTTTCAGAAAATTTGCGTAAGAAAAGTGCGGCGTCCTTTGTAAGCTACTTAATTCGTTTTTTAAATCAATGCAAAAGTTAATTCAATAAACCAATTTTTACGTTTTCTTCACGTCTTATACAAAATTTTGTTTTTTTTTTACTTGAAACCAACTGCAAAGTCATAGGAAGTCGTGGAAATGCCTGCAGTTTTGCAAAAATTATGGCAATCCATACGGAAATCGCCGCAATCAATACGAAAATCGCCGCAATCAATACGAAAATCGCTGCAGTTCCAAGAAATCTGTCGAAATCATGTGGAAATCACCGCAGTCATCCAGAAATCGCCTTACGATTGAGGAAATTATATGAATTCGGCAATACATGTACATTTTTACAAAGAATTTGTGGATATCTTGTCTACTTTGATAAACTTTTTAATGTTGTTTAAGTTTATTTAATACATTTTTCATTTACTTATAAAATTCATAAATTTGTCAAAGGTAACTATCTTAATTGATTTACATATAGTAATTCCATACCTGCCCACTCTTCATTGAAACGTTCAACTTTATCGTATTTACGAACCATTAGTAAATAACGAAATCGTAGATTTTCAGGGAGTTCACGCCATTCGTTTACTGAGAAATATTTACTTATTAGTTGTTGAACACTTTTACTTTCGTTTCTAATACTTTCATCCATATTTAAATTCAATTTAAGCACTAGTTTGTGTTAAATAAACTATTAGAATCTACTATAGCCATTTTGAACTTTTAAACATTCAAATGTTTTTGAATTTTTACGCAAGCCAATAGGAACATAGAATAGTTGTCTAAGAAGCGACTATTTACAGAAATGGTTCCGGTGTTCAGATAACTGTAATATTGTAAAAGATAAGATTCTTATAATTAAATAAAACAGAAGAAAATGTATGATATATGTCAAAATAAGAACATAACCTTAGAATTTTATGTCAAATTTGATTATAGTTATTTTGTGTGGTATTTTAGTAGAATGTTTTATTTAGATTTGAAATCCTATTTATAATTAATGTCCGAAAATTCTATTAATAGTATTAATACATTTAGGCCACGATTGAACGATTGAAATGAACACAGCACTCCATGCTTGGAACGAACGTAGTTTTGAATTTCACTCTGTTGAAGGAAGATATAATAGAGTTTTCTTCCAGTATCTTTGCAAATTTGTTGGAATACCTTAGAGACACAGTGGAGCATTTAATTTTAGCTATTTTAATTTACATATTGATATGTATTTTATTGTATTTGTGTATACAAGTATGGGGATTTATGGAATTCAACCGAGAACCGAATAATGCCAGAAGGATATTATTTGTAATTTCGCATTGCGACGACGAATGTATGTTTTTTGGACCAACAATCCTGCATTTTACTAAAAAAGAAGAATGCTCAGTATACATCGTATGCTTATCTACGGGTTAGTATAAAAAATTACCTTTTAAACTTCTATTACACAACTCATATTAATACATCAACATTTTGTTAATTAATTTCATGTTACGTTCACTCAGGGGGTATTACATTTAAACCTGAAGGATAACAAATTAAATAAAGGAGATGCAACTTTACAAAGGTTTTTGAAATCCTGCTATATGTCATCATATAAGTATAAATCAACTTGGTTTCATGAAAAGTCCTTTAACAAACACCAACCTTCTGACTATTACCCAATGTATTGCTGAATCTATTGACAACTAAGCCAAAAACTGATGTTATTTACACAGACTTTTCTAAGGCCTTCAACAGACTTGATCATGGCATTCTGCTCAGCAAACTTGTAGCTTTTGAATTATATCCCTCTTTAATTTCACTGTTTCAATCCTATCTATGGGATCGAAAGCAATATGTCCAGCTCAATGGTTTTAAGTCTGCTCAATATAGTGCTTCTTCCAGTGTTCCACTAGGGTCAAATCTAGGACCCCTCCTTTTCATTATGTTCATTAATGATACTGCAAATGTTATAAATATAAATTTCCTTCTCTATACTGATGATCTAAAATTGTACTGCCATGTGGAGAAGATAAGTGATTGCAAGAACCTTTCAGATACCTTAACACAGTTTGTTGAATGGTGTTATCAAAATAACTTGTCACTAAACCTAGATAAATGTAAAGTTATATCCTACAGTTTAAAAATGAATATCCAAATCTTTAATTATTCAATAGAAAACATTGCCCTTGAGCGACCAGAAACATTTACTGATCTTGGCGTCACATTTGACATTGCACTATCATTTAATAAGCCCATTGATAATGTTGTATCTTCCTCCTATCATATGTACAGATTAATTGCATGTAGCAGTAGTGATTTTAAAGAAACCTCTACCTTAAAAACTCTATTTTATACTTTTATAAGATCAAAATTAGAATATGCTTCAATTGTGTGGAGCCCCTTTTATCAATATGATATAGATGGAATAGAAGCAATTCAAAGAAAATTTTTAAAACTGCTAGCATTTATCCTCTAATAGGTACACCTTACTCTGAATTACTACAAAAGCATGACTTTTTCAGCCTCGAAAGAAGGCATGATTATTATAGTGTAGTAGTAACTTATAAAATTATTAAAAGTATTATTGACTGCCCAACATTATTAGGAAAGTTTAATATTTGCATTCCCAGAATTTCTTCCAGACACCTGAATACTTCTTATATAAATAAATCTCACACAAATGTTCTAGAAAATTCTCCACTCCATACCATGTGTACACTGACAAATTCTATTGTCAATGAACTTGATATATTTAGTTGCAATTTGTCAAATATAAAATCCTACCTTTTATCTTAGTTAATTTGTTACCTATTACAAAATATAAGTTCTTTTTATGTACTTAACATTTATATAAAAAAATCTGTGATTTATTAATAATTATATTCTTTTAATTCCTACTCTGTAATTGGGTTTATGACCTGTAGCATATTGTATTACAAATAAATATGTTATAAAAATCATTAAAATTACAATAAACTAAAACTTAGAATACAAATAATAACAAACTTACAAAATAATAGCAATAAAAATACCTACATAGAAGTAAACATAAAAAAATAATGTTACATTTGTTGTTCACAAATAACTTATGATTAGAGTGATTTTTCAACCTGTCTATCGTTTAAACTAGGAAGAAAAATTGGGTTTAGTGCTGTGAGAATTATGAGAAATATTCACAACAATTAAATCATTATCTCAGTTAACGAAATGTGCTGTTTGTAAAGTTCATAGTTATCATTTACTACAAAGATTGATGTCTAATTACCACAACAAGAATTGTTGTCTAGTGTAAAAGATTGTTGTGAACAATTACCACAACAAAGATGGATAAAAGGTAAATTTTAGCATAAATATTACAATTTACCCAAAGAATATATCATAAAACGAGTTTACCTAGGCTTATTTGTGTTGGAAAATATTTTAATTCTTGTAAATATATTATATTAAGTATAAAATCCCTATAATTTCAAACTCTAAGAATGGGATAATATAAATGTGTGTTGTGTGAATGTGTACAGTGATACAGGGTGAAAGCTGCCCAGACAGCACACCAAATCCTTTGGATATCTATTGAACATCTTTTGTAAACCAAGAAGGTTAAGAGTTAAAGAGTAGCTTCAGCTAATCTTCGCCTTCTTGGTGCAAATGTAATGTAATAATTTATTTAATAAAGACATTATTATTATTAACATCCCAATATCCACTGAATGTCCAGTCCATGGTAGATATCTATTTTATATCCATTAAATGTAATTTATAGACATGCAAATGTCCATAAATAATAGTAATTATATAGCAAATTATTAAAAAATTACGTCATTGTGGCTAATAGTATCGTTCAGATATTTAAAATTAATTTTTTTAAGGTGTATTCAATATCCCATGAACATCCACTAAATATATCAAAGTCTAGGCGCGAACGCAAACCATCGTGGATATCCACTAGATGTCATTTTTGATTTTGCTTACTAAGTATAGATGGCGATTACTTTCGCATCTACTCATGCTCAACCCGCCGTAATTGAGTTCGATCGAAATTTGTTTCACAATCAGACTTCATTAGAGACTGGAGTCGAGAATTTCCATTTATTGCTATCCTAATAAGGATAACTTTCTCCTTGGCAAAATCAGTGTTGAAAATATTTTGAGTGTTGAAAATATTTTTTATCTCTTTATTCAATAATCATTGGTTACTTATGAACCTCTACTAAAGATACCTATAAAATATTTTGCTGAATATCCGAATTCTTCTATATCCTGGGATATAGGCGGACATTTGGTTGGATATCCACAGAATATATTCTGTGGATATCTCTGGGATTTCTTGTATTGTCTGGAAGATACTCATTAGATATTTTGCTGGATATCCATATGATATCTTCTATATTCTGGATATAGATGGACATTTGGATATCCATATTAGATCCACGGAATATTTCTGATATCCTGTGGATATATGGTATATCCACAAAAGATATTCTGTGGATATCTCTGGGATTTGGTGTGTTGTCTGGGTTGGCACGTTTAATTTATTATAAAAATTTTAAGTAACAAAAAGTAAGTTATGAGTATTCATGTTATATACAGGTATAAAAAAATATGTAGTGTTCAAAATGATCTCCATTTTCCTAAATACACATTTGGCACTGTTTTAAAAAAGAAAACCGATTTTTTGGAAGATCATTGGCTTCTGACGAAATTGATTTGCACTTTCAATGTCTCAGTTTTATGCATCGATTATTTCATAAAACCCCAGAAGCAAAAATCAATAGGATTAAGATTTGGACTTCTAGCTGCCAAGAAATAGGTGCATCAGGACCCCTTCCAATCCAACGTCCAGGGTACATACCGAAAAGATATTCCCTAATTTCGTTATTGAAATACGCTGGAGCTCCATCTTATAAATACCAGATATTTTGACTCATTCCTAAATTTACGTCTTTTAAGTACTCTGGTAAATCATTTTGTAAGAACTGCAAGTAATTTGCACCATTTAAATTATTTGGAAAAAATACTGTTCCTATTAATTATTAAAAACATTGACTCTAAAAGCCCTTTGGTGACGAGTCACTTTTTTTGCATAAAAGTCTTGGTTAAGTTTCAATTATCTCAAGGTCAACCACACATTGAAAAACCAGCCCTAAATGTAGTACATATTTGTAAGTTGAATATTTATGTAGTAATCTTTTCAGGTAGAAATTATGGAATGGGATCAATCAGAAAAAACGAGCTATACAAAGCATGTACAGTTCTAGGAGTACCTTCAGAAAATATTTTTATTCATTCTCACACTCTACTTCCGGATGCCATGGACGTACGATGGCCGACGGAAGTGATATCATCTCTAGTATTAAGATACGTCGAAAGTCTAGATATAACAACTCTAGTCACGTTTGATAGATATGGAGTTTCGTACCATAATAACCATTGCAGCATATATTATGCTGTGGCTAACCTCATTTTAGATAATGTTTTACCTAAAAGTAAGTTTTTTTTTTAACTTTTAATGATAATTATAATTAAAACGACAAAATTCAATTTTTAAATTAATAGAATTTCAGTTATTTTAACATAAGAAAATAGGGAAACCTTAAATTTATGATTAATTATTAAAAATAGTTTAGTTTTCTAATTTGTTGTGTATTTTTCAGGTTGTACTGTTTATGTTCTTGATACTACTAATATAATTAGGAAATACTGGTTTTTTTTGGACATACCCTTATCCATAGTGTTTTCTAGATTTAGGTAAGTAAATGTAAACTAAATGACTTTTTAAGACAAACGTTGTTTTTTGTGATTGTGTTCAGTTTAATATCTCAACAAAGTTAATATATATTATACTAAACATGGTAAACTATTTAGATAGGTACATTCACTGAATAAAAATTTCTATTTCTATAAAAAAGGCGTTTTAGAAATACATGTACATATTAAAACCCACTCAATAATGTTACCACTTAAAAAATGCAATTCATGCGATAATAGCACTCAGCTGCGACTCGTTTCTTAACTTTCGTAATCATAATATTAATATTTAACCAAAGTTTCATTTTTAAATTTTAACTGGGCGCATATTTTTATTGGGTATTCGTTTTGGGTCAGTCCGATCCTGTTTGCGAACTTTCAGTTCCGATTGGTAAAAGAAAAATGTTATTTTCAGGTTTATGGGTGGTTTAGAAGGCAGAACCACGATATACAACGCCATGAAGCAGCACTCGTCTCAATTGAAATGGTTTCGTCGTTTGTACATGTATTTCAGTCGATACGTGTTAATAAATACTCTACAACAGATGAATTTGATCGATGTAGAGTTAGATTTAGAAATACAAGATTAAAATAAAATACTTTTATATTTTGTACCTACGTCTCTATCCGTTTATAACAAAATGTACAAAACAAATGATCAATCATTTTTTTTTTAGGAAATATCTGTTTTTACATTAATAATTGAAAGTTTATGAATATTCAAAGAGGGAAAACGTTTTATATATTTTTAATGTAATTTCAGATTTGTTTTAATTATAAATTTGAATTCGCTGTGGATGGATCTTTCATTCTTAATTTTCCTAGTGAAATTATCAAATATATTGAGTACGGTCCATTTAATCCAAAAGTGTTTAGAATATGAATTAAAAATAAAATTTCACATACATTTAATTCGAAAATTTTTTTTTAAATATCTTTATTGCCAACGAAAATGAAAAAATTCGAATTTTGCACTTTTTCTTAAATTTCTTCATTACGGTCCATTTTAGAGAAATCATGTATATAACAAAAATTATAGAGAATGATATCGCAAACAACTTTTATTTGAAGAATTTTCTTCTCCAAGCGTAAATAACAGATATATTTCAATAAGTAGAAAAACGACTCTATTCGTATCTCCAAAATTTAATAATTTCACCGCAGGATGGATTAAAGTTTAAATTTGTCATTTTTCTCTTTATCCATTTTTGAATTATATTCAAAATTTGTTTTTTCTCAAATATCTCGGATACGGTCCATTTTAAAGAAATTATGTATAGGACAAGAATTTTCTTTTCCAAGTGTTCAGTAGAGTTCGTATAAAGTGATTTCTGTACACTCGGTACAAAAGTAGTTATTAATTAAGACTCGGTCGATAAAGATTTGATTATTGAAAACCGGCTATACAATTAATTCGGTATTTTTGATATAATAATTAATAGTGCACTTCCCTTTTTCTTTCCTTAACCCTATCCCAAAGTGCCCATCAATAACTTTGGATAAGACCGTCAAGAATATCGGTAAGTAATTTTTATGGATTTATTTAGTCCATAAGGCAATTTTCCGTAACACCAAGCGTAAATAACAGATATATTCCATAAAGTAGAAAAACCATCCATTATAAAGTGCCAGATATTTGGACTATGCCCAAAATTTAATCTGTTCACCGCAGGATGGATTGAAGCTTAAATTTAAAATTTAGTATTTTTCTCTTAATCCGTTTTTGAGTTATCTTTACATTTTAGAGAAATTATATATAGGACAAAAATTATAGAGAATTATATCTCAATCAATTTTTATTTCATTTATTTATTTAGTTTATTATTGTAGACCGTGAAACGGTGTGCACGTGTATTGTTAGCTCCTCCAAAAATTTGTAAAATAAGTGGTACAAAGTGCTAGAATCCATAAGAAATTTATGTGAAGACGATCCTATGTGAAATATAGCTTATATATGAAGAGAATTGTAAGTTATAATTTACTTTTCAATAAGAAAACTGCGTTTGAAAGAACAATTATTATAATAATATATCTATAAGGTTTATTTTGGCAAATTCACACCAAGACCACTTTTTACATTAATAAAGATAAGGCCAAACTATTTAAATTAATGTTTATTCCACCACAGTAGTCACATCAGAGAATACTGATGAGTGATAATGAAATTTTTAATAACTCAACAAACTCACAACTGTATGGATTGCTAGTTAAAGTTATTAAAAACCAAACAGAAGAACTTAAGGCAGAAATAAATAAAAATATTCAGGATCTTTCTAAAAAAGTAGATTCTGTTGAAATTAAGTTGAAACATTACAAAATAAAATATCACTTGAACGAAGATCTAGACATAACCATGTAATAGTTTTTGGTATGAATGTAGACAAATTAAATCTGCTGAATAATTCCCTAGAATTTTTAAATAAAACTCTTGGCACAAATCTGCAAAGGAATGACATAAATAATATATATCTTGGAGGTAACAAAACCAAAGACAATCATCATATTGTTATTGAGTTTATTTCCTACCTACAGAAACAAGATATTTTTAAGAATACATATTGGCAAACCAAAGAGTTCTGGAGTGGCTATTGTAAACGATATGTGTTTTGAAGATAGACAAACCGTGTATTGAAGGACGACCACCTTAAAAACGCAAAAAGTCAAAATCATTATAGGACCTAGATTTGGAAATTGAAGATCTAAAGAAATTAGCAGAAGAAGAAGCGTCTGAGGAAGAATTTAGTGAATCAGAAGAAGAACTTTTTTTTTTTACTTTGGATAGCCACACACAACATTTTAATGTTTAATTAAATAATTAGGTTGGGGGAAAATATATAGAATTACAAAATATCGAAACGACACATTTTCGAAAACGAAATATAGACATCACAAAATATCGAAAACACAAAAAATCGGCAACAAGTAATATCGCCAGTACATAATATCGAAAACAAGAAATGTCGAGATAATATAACATCGAAACTACAATTTATCGAAACTACTTAATATCGATGTACAAAATAACGACACAGCATAATGCCGAATAAATAAAATATCGACATTACATAATTTAGATTATGTAAATATATCGAAAAATCTGTTTCAAAGCCAAAAACATCAATTTTCCTGTAACGCCTAGTAATAAATAACTCTCTTTAATGAATTAAATATAATGTACTTAATGCAAAATAACAAATTACCGAAATTACAAAATATCGAAAGTGCAAACTAGTACCTACATCAAAGAATACCATTCTGTGCCTACATAACAAAATTTCGTTTGTTGTCAACAACAATCATTAAACAAAATTTCTGTTTGTTTGATTTGTCTGACTGACATTTGGAAATAATCAAAAAGTGGGTGTGTTGTGCACAAAGAGGTTAAAAATGGAAAAAGACTGCGATTTTGAATACTTAGAGAGCAATAAAGGCGGAAAAATATTATATTCCAATGGATATTACTATACCAAAGAAAAATCTGTGAGTACAAAAATATATTGGAAATGCCAGAATTGGACTAGCTTTTGCAGAGGCAGAGGTACACTAGTTTCAAACACCTTTTCACGGACCGCTGATCACAATCACGAAGGAAATCCTGTTAAAGTTGAGGTCAAGAAAAAAATGAGTCAAATAAAGGAAAAAGCACTAGCCAGCAATGATGCTCCTCAAGTTATTGTCTCAAGTGTAATGTCAGATGTAAGTGGCGAGGCTAGTACTTCGTGTCCGTCGATAAGTAGTATCAGGAGAATTATCAGTCACATTCGAAAAAAAAAGTATTCCCACTACTCAATCCCAAAGGATCTGGAAGATTTAGTTATCCCCCAAAAATACCGAAAAACTGGGAAAAACGAGGAATTTATATTATATGACAGTAATGACAAACAGAGAGTAATTATTATGGGAACAAAACAAAATCTAAATTTTTTAGAACGAAGTACTAAATGGTATATTGACGGAACTTTTAAAACTGTGCCTGAATTATTCCACCAATTGCTGACGATACATGGCGATATAGAAGGTATTGTTTATCCTTTAATATACTGTTTATTACCCAATAAAATGGAGAGAACATATATTAAAATATTTGAAAAAGTTCGAGAATTTATTAAAAATCCAAAAGTATCCCTTATTCTAATGGATTTTGAAATAGCCTTAATAAATGCTACGAATTTGCTTTTCCCAATAGCTGATAAACAGGGATGCTATTTTCATTTTCGGCAGGCACTTTACCGACGTATTTGTTCTTCGGGTTTAAAAAGAAAATACGATACAGATAAAGATTTCAACAAACAAATTAAATTTCTAATCTCGCTTGCCTTTGTTCCTGAAGATTTAGTACTAACTGCATTTAATGTAATAGAAAAATCCGGAATCCTGACGGATCATACTCAACAATTCTGTAGCTACTTTAAAAAGAACTGGATGGGAATTCAAGATGATAATAAAAAGAAACATGCATCGTTTTCGTTTCACTTATGGAACTATTTTAATCGTACCCTAAACGAAGAGCCAAGAACTAATCATTTTAGCGAGTCCTGGCACAGTGCTTTAAAAAAACAAGTTCAATCTAAACATCCGTCTATTTGGAAATTTTTCGAGTTTATGTTAGATCAACAAAGTATGCAAGAACTTCAAATTAACCAACAGTTAACTGGCTGCGAAAAATCACTCAAGAAGAAAAAATATAACGACAAAAATAAAAGACTTGCTACTGTGGTTCAATCATTTGCTCGAGATAAATGTACAGATACATACTTGTTAGATTATTTGAAAGCTATTACCCTTACTCTGTAACGACATTAATTGAATAATTTGTTATTTGATATTTAAGCACTTTTTTTCATCTCGATGTTATCTAGTGTAGTGTACTCCATCTTTTTGGTATTTATGTACTGATATTTTGTGTTTCCGATGTTTATGTTGTATCGTGGTTGTTGTTGACAATAAACGAAATTTTGTAATTTCGACGTTTTGTACTTTCGACATTTTGTTGTTTCGATAATTAGTTATGCTGCATTTCGTATTTTCGATATTATAGAGTGTCGATATTATGTGTTATCCTTTAAATGTAGTTTCGATATTATGTATTTTCGAGATTTGGTGATTTCGATATTTTGTAATATCGATGTTTTGTAGTTTTTTCAACATTATGTACTTTCGATATTTTGTTCATCGATATTTTGTAATTCGATATATTTTCCCCCAACCAAATAATTAACCTAATTAAATGGAAATTTTATTTATTGAGATAAATTCTACTATTAAGTTGTAAATTTGTTTATTCTCCGTTGCCAGTAAAACTTGAATGTTGGTGGGAAATTGTAAATTTAACTTATTTAGTTTGTCCATGAAGTTAGTAGTTCCTGGATTTATTTTACAATTAAAAAACAGGTGATTCAAATCAGCAATTTCATTATCATGTTGACAAATAGGCGACTCTATTATTCCTATCTTATGCAGATGGGCCGGGAAACATCCATGGTTGATCTTAAGTCGTGTAATGATAGATGAGTATTTTTTTGAAACATTAAATAGAAATATGTGGGGAACCGGTTTTGGTAAATCCTTATGGATTAGAAAATAGGGGTTAGTAGAATTTATGGCTATCTCTGACCATTTTTCCTTCCATTTTTTTGATTATATTTAGTTTATAACCACAAAATAAATCGCTATAACAAGGAATATTATCAAAATTAGTACAAATTCTTGCTTCTTTGGCTGCCACATCTGCTTTTTCGTTTCCATAAATACCACTGTGGCCCTTTACCCATATAAATATAACTTTGCAGTTCCTTA